ATCCGAGAGTCGAAATACGTCGACAGTTACGAGGATGGCGACCGTGACCCCCGCGATCCCTGTGACAGTTGACACTTTTCGTATCTAAGAGTCCAAAAATGATGACAGTTACAAGGAAACGAGAGGGGGGGTCGAGCCAAACCTTTGAAAAAAAAACCCTCCACCGGTTTAGGGATTAGGATTTAGGGTTTGGGAATTAGGGTTTAGGGACTAGGATTTAGGGTTTGGGGATTAGGGTGTAGGGAGCAGGGTTTAGGGATTCGGGTTTGCGGATTAGGGTTTGGGGATTAGGGTTTAGGGGTTGGGGATTAGGGATGAGGGTTTAGGCGTTTTGGGGGTCTGGGAACATGAGCTACTGCCAATATTGGGCTTGAGTATTCAGGAACCTTTAATGGGGGTCCCTTTTGTAGTTTAGTATCGTCCCCAATATCGTCCCTGATAAGGAGCCCATGTCCATTGAATTATGTACGAAATATTGACCATGTCATTATAGTCGGCTTATATACAGGATGTCATAGGCGAGTGGCGGGTATTCTAATCATCTCTTTACAGCCCAATCTACATTCCCTCCCCTATCCCCCTTCACAGCAGTAAGGCAAGCATCTGGATCGCCAGCCCCAGCGCCAAGCTTTCAGCAAGCCCCAGCCATAACACCAGCCATGCAGCAGCAGATGGTGCAGCAGATCACATCTATGGGCTTCCCGGAGTCTATGGCACAAAGTGCACTGCAGGCTGCGAACTGGGATATTGAGGCTGCGATTTCCCGGCTGTTGGGTTGAGATCCATCTCATGCTTCTACTCCATCATGGACAGCAAGCTGAAGCTCAGATGAAAGGAAGGCCATCTTCAAGCACTCCCTGGTGGCGTCACTGGGGTGAGATGCTCAGCGAGATGCCTCTCCTGCATTCTATGCATCCCCGCGCGATTGATTAAAACATCCACCTGCTGTATGATGCGCACGAGCCCAAATACAGCTGTGGCATAGCACGTTATGTTGATGGTCGAATCCGGGCTCTCAGCGGATGTTAGGGGGAGCCATGCCAGCAACCTCCAAAGGCAAATGCCGTCAAGTAACTGCACCTCAGCAAGTCTTCTCTGACAGGTACCCTGAAGCCTGAAACGCAAACCCTAAACCCTAAATCATACACGCAACGTCTTCAGCAGGGCATTTCGGAGAGGAGCTGTCCTACTGACTGGGTCGTGGCAAGGCCGACAGTTGAAGGCAGCATGGTGCGCCCCCCCTTGTCCCTGCTTGATCCAACAAGGGGATTTTGGTAACCCCAACCCTCAAAATCAGAACCCTATCACTAGTAGAGGACAAGGACAACTGCAGAGTCCTACTTTTTGAGTGTAAGGGGTCCCAAAATCCACTATCATGATCCATGCAAGCAAAACCCGGTCAGCAGGTACTCTGCGTGTGCGTCATCTCCTTTGGCGACAACTGGCGGCCATTCTGGCTTCGCGACAGCCACTTCCCCAGCTTCCTCCCAGCTGCAACAGAGCTCTGGCAGACAATGGACATGTCAACGAAAACAGAGCCCATGCTTCAATTCGACCATCGAGTTTAGTTGCGTTGTTGTTTGGAACGTCTGGCCTACGAGTCAGGGTTGCCTTTTCTAGAGAGGGCAAGAATAGACATGACTAGTCAATCACATGTGCTCCTCGGTAATGCCGGAGTGCATGCACACCACACAACATATGAGGGTACCTTCAAGATGTTTTGAATTGCAAGAATCCCAACACGCTCACAGCAGCGAACATCAACAAGAATCTCTTTGACAGGCTACGATGCCGCCCGAGAGACAGAGGAGGTACCAACCTTAGCGTGAAAGTTGCTTGGTGTCCTTAACTCGTCACTTTGCCTCCTTTTCCCTTGTAGCAGCAGCATCGTGACGACAACAAGCAGATGGACGGTACGACGATCTGACACAGAACTAAATAAATCGGTTTGGACCTCAAATCATTCAGGCCTGAATGGCCGCTTTGGGAACATAATTCTGATCAAGAATCGAAGCTTGCATTTGTGTCCAGTACAGTTGGAGTGCTATGACAGCACGCAATGTTTATTGATCAAAATAACGCTGCTTGCTGTTGATGGCTGCTACTGGTCAGGTACTGCGTGTGTACTTTCCAACAGCGGTATCAATCTAACCCCAACGGCAGTGCAGGGAGAGTCAAATCTCATATCAGAGCATATAAAGTCGTGTATCAGGAGGAAGATGAACCGGGCACAGTCCAGTACGAACCTGGATATTTCGGAGAGGAGGCACTCTGCTTCTGTCACCATTGATGGTCTCAAACCCTCATGCTGCTTGCCAGGCCGACAGAAAAGGATGGTGTATGGAGCCCATGTAGCCTGCTTTGTTACAGCAGAAGAGACCGTCAACGCCTAGGCTGGCCGCCGTCCATCTTCAGCTTTATGGAGGTTTGGACATGTTTGGACCCAAAGCAACGGAGCTGCTTTCAAGATTCAGAGTCAAGTCCGAGCTGATGCTGGGCACCTGCCAGGCATTCCGATCACGTCGCTGACCACACAGTAATGCAGTGATTCGTTGGAGCGAACATGTTGGCCATGAAGGGTTACAAGGAGGCCCCGAGTGAAACCGCAGATCAACTGCAAAGGGGCGGCTGAGCTGTAGCGCCATGGTGGAGCTGCCGTGAAGACCTTGGTAGTGCCCAAAGCAGCAGGCCCCATGGCTCCTGCATGCCCTTCCAGCAAAGAGCGCCCGTGGATGTCCCCGGAAGCAGCGCCAATGCCAATGCATCCAGTCGATGGCCTGAGCAGCTTGGAAAAGGAACCTGCCGTCGGCTTGCACAAGTGTCCGATCAATTTCCTCTCTAAATCAATAATCAGTCTGGAAGGTTGAACGGTCTTCAGCTGCAGCATAGGCCATGGATGGCCATGAGCTATAGTCATAAGCAGGCATTAGATAAACGTAGGTGGGGTGGCGGGTCGGAAAATACTGCCACAGTATCTGCAGTTTCTGCTGAAGCCTCTTTGGTGCTTGTTGGCCGCGTCACCAGCGCATGCTTGTTCCGACGGCATTTACAGGCTTCAACATTTGTCTAAGTAGTGTTGTTAGCTAGCCCAGCACATGCCACCACCGTGGCCACCGGCATCCGACGACACTTGTTCGCATTTTCTGGATGGCGATTACGGATACTGCCATCGAAAAAACGCCAATAGTGACGTTTCCTTGTTATGGTACTGTAAGTACTTTCAGTTCCTTAACACCCTAAATACACCCTCTTGGACCCACTTTCCATGTAGTTGTGCAGTTTCTTTTCCAGGTTTCTGTGTTGTGGGTGCAACCAACATCCTCTCCCTGTAGACACTTTTCTGTTGTTCGGCTTGTTTAGTTCCTGAACAGCAACCCAGCTTTCTCGTTATGCGTTTGCAGCGGCCACAGCATCCTTCATGGTGCTCGGTAGGGACTGGCGGAGTGCATTTTGACAAAGCACTCAAGTCCTAGATTAACAAAAACCCCATTCCAGACTGAGCGCCCGAGAGAAATCTCCCCAGTTCAAGTTGCCAAGGATCAAGTCAGCCACCAGGTGCTAGCAGATTCGGATAAAGATCCAGCATCAGGCAACGCTATGGGCTACGTTCACGTTGGCGAGGCCCGCGAAGCAGATACTTGAGTCTTTGGATCTCTGACTTTGCCTGATATAGCTCCAGACAATCCTTGTATGACCCCACTACAACTACGAATAATCACCTTCATAGAATCCCCATGTAAACCCTAGTGGGAGGGTTGGGGGGACTTATTGAGTAGGTAAATAAAGGGGAGAACTAGGGTTTCTTTAGGGGTTACAGGGCTATTGACCTATTTACTAAGTTCCCCTGACCCTCCAAGTGTACAATCCTCATTGGGTTACTGGAGGTGCCGATCAAGGCGCCAATGCCTGCTCCTGTAGCTGTTCCTGTAGCTGCACCCGTGGTCGTGGCTTCGGCTGCAGCTCCAGTACCCGTGCCTGTTGCTTCGATATTCCTGGGAATCATTTTTACTTATTACGGACCATGATCCGCATATCTTCCTTGTAAAGCCTTGAAAGCGAAGATTTTTGTATGGCCCGACAACTTGTCCAAGGTTGCTACAATGCCGGTTCGCGCGCCAGTTGCTCATGAGACGCGGTTACGCGTCTCAACAGTCCTTTGTATTTCCTTTCCATTCCCTTATACCACCCATACAACTCTAGATTCCCATTCATATTCCATGTGATTTTCTTTGCGATTCTCCTATTTTGTTGGTAATGTCCCCTAAAACCTTATATCATCATCATATTTCCCAGAAAACCATATTACCCGATGTAGCCCTGAATTGGGTAGATTGAGAAGCTTCATCAGACGGCATGTCTTTTTACTGAGCAGTTGGGTAATACATCCCTAAGTAATGCCCAATTGTAGCACTTTCTAGTTCATTGTCCATCTGATTAGCTATTGGATTATTTCATCTCCATGGGATAGGCTTGGGTGGTATGTATGATCAGGTTCGCAATGCTCCTCGAGAGACGCCCGGCCATTGGTCCAGTCCTGTTGCCCGAAATCTCCCATATCTTTGGGAATTAGTGTAGGTTTTCATTGCAGCATACCCCAAGGAACCATTAAGCATGTCTGTTACAAAAGGTCTAAGGGGATTACAGGACCAAGACCGCAGTCTTTTGCAGTTGCGCTTGTGTCAGAACCGCATGGCAACCAAGAATTCCGGGACTGCGAGATCAGGGATGGAAAAGGGGCAATGCAAGACATCGCCTTGGCCAAGTTCTTTGAGGTTCCGAACCCTTCATCATGTCAGTCATGTGTGCACACACATGTGGTCAAATCCAGCTGCTGCAGGCATGCGAGCTCTACAGCACTTCGTCTTCAAGACATTGGAGTTTTTCTCTACAGAATCCCCATATCATCCTTAAAGGGTCCCCCCATAGTCTCCTTCTAATCTCATACATCCCGGAGTCCTTGCATGGCTCCTGTCCTGTTCTGCAAAGCATGCGGTGCGGCATGACTGCCTCGCAGCTGAATTGTCTCCAAACCGTGAGATCTGAATTCGCCTCCCTAGAGCTTTGCAATAAGGAAGTGCATGGCTGGGCTATAAATGGGGGATTCCCAAAAATCACAAGGACTATAGTATTTTGCAGTCTTTGTTGGGTTCCCCTTATTTTGGGAAACTACCAAATATGAATATTGGGGATTCTCTAGGGATTGCTATTGGGATCAAGGCGAGGAGCTCTGGCAGCAGATATGTCCATAGTCCCCCTTAGGTAGATAGAATATGGTGTATATGGCGATCTTATTCCAACATACCCAAAGCCATATTCTATCTACTTAAGGAGGGACTTTTTACCCTAACCCCTAAACCCTAAATAGTACTTTCCATTTTCTTTTCCATTATCCCTATATAACCCCAAAATAACCTTAAGATTCTATCCACTTAAGGGGGACTATAACCCCAAGCCTAAAACCCTAAACCCAAGCTGACCGCAGCTGAGGAGACATGCTGTCCAAGCTTGGCCGAGCGGCAAGTGTTGTTGTGGGCGACATTGAGCACAATCTCAGCAAATCCAAAGCTTGGCCCTCGGAAGGAGGAGGAGGGGGAAGGGTAAGGTCAGGAGATGGGGAGACAGCTTTGCTGAAAAGAGACGTCCCCAAAAATGATTCTTATATCCTACCCAACAGGGCCCCGACGACACCCCAATAATACCACCGTAATCATGCCTGCATATCCCGGAGCATCCCAAAGTTACCCCCAATTTGCAGAAACCAGGTTTAGGGTTTTGGGTTTAGGGTTTAGGATTTAGGGTTTAGGGTTAAGGGTTGAGAAGGGATTCATCGGGCTTTGCGAAACTCAGATATCCTTAGGGAAGTTCGGGCTATATGGGGATTGCAAAGAGGATATGGGGGGGGTCCCCTTCTGGATGTTACAGTCATTTTGTGAAGGTAGTTTCCATAACTAGGCAACCTTAATGTACACTTTGAAACATTCCACTATAATCCCTAATGTAGAGGTCCCCCAAAAAGTTGCCCCTTCATTTTGGGAAGCACCAAAAAAAACTCTCAGGGAAATCGCTTCGGCCGAGGCGGTTTTTCTGGAAGCTCCAGAGGAGCGAAAGACTGTAACCGCCTATTTGCCCATGCCTCAAAGGGTCTAGGGTTCAGGGCATAAGGATTATAGCGTTTTGGGGTTTAGGGTTTAAGGTTTAGAGTTTAGGGAGTCTCCATACATTGGGGGCCCCAATGTAGACCCCCTAAATATTATAATCCCTCTTGGAGGGAGTTCTAAAAAAGGCACCCTGAATCTTTGGAACCAAGCACATAGTTAGACACATCCCAACTACACGGCCTCTAGCTGAAATTAGGCGGGATGTAGCCTACTGCTTTGGGTATTTGAGAGGTCTTTGCATGTACTATGTGGGAATTACACAGCGTTGTTTGGATTCGAGAGGAGACTCCGAGTAATGCCCATACAGTGAGTGAGTGGATGGAGGAAATCTTGCACCTACTTTAAGGTGAGAAGTATGGGCCCTAACGTGGGCCTTTAGGCTTTGAAGGCGGACTCTAGGAACCCTTAAGGGTACATATAGGGTATATAGTAGGTATACAAGCAGGGTGAAGGGCGCATACTAGGGGGCTAGGAACTTGCTCGGGTATAGAGCAAGGTGGTGCAAGATTTTCAGGCATCGAGTATCTTTTGTGGTGGCGCGACTGCACATGATTACAGCTGAGGCAGCTGCCAGCGTCCCACGTAGGCATTGAAAAGCTGACATGGTTGTGCAGGCCGGCAGCAGGGGGTCTAGAGTTCTGGTTTAGATTCAAGGTTTTGTTATAGGGTATCGGGTTCAGGGTAGAAGCAATCTAAAACTAAACATGAATTATGTTGTCGTCCTGATTATAGGAACTCCCGAGAAGGGACCTCTAAACCCAATAGCCCCTCATGCCTAAAACTAATGAATTGAAAATCGCCAAGTCTAAGTCCCGGTCAGGGGTGTGCAGTTCTTCTTGACCATGATCAAGAACATCTTCGGACCAGATACGGGTGGCAATCCTGCTGTGGAGGCGGGCTTAAGGTTCAGAATTTAGGGTTTCGGCTTTGGGTTTAGGATCCGGGGTTTGAGTTTAGGATGTAAGGCTGGGGGTTTAGGGCTTCCTTGGAATTAGATGCTTCTGGGGAAGCCTCGTTCCTTAAAAAAGCCTAAACCCCGAAACCCGAACCCCAAATATCATTTGCCACTATCCCTGGATAACCCCAATATATCTCTTATATAACCCCTATATACATTATGTACCCTGTGCTAGGCATACCCGGAGAACCTAGACTCTGAACCCTAAACCCCCAACAACCTAAACCCCTAAATTCTTGTGCGCTAGGCATACCAGGAGACCCTCATGCAGTATCATGGCTGGGCGCCAGCCCCAGAGACTCCTTGTAGCAAGCCCTGCGTTGGCCACAAGGCTTCCTGAAGGTTAATTAAATTCATATAGTCATAATAACAAAAGCAATAATAGCAATAGTATTCGTAGTATTACTAATGATGGTAGTAATAGTAGTAACAATAACAGTCGCAATGTTAATAATGTGAATAGTAATAAGAATAGTCATAATAAGACTGGTCATAGTGATAACGGTCATAACTAGGGAGGGGGTCCTTCTTTGGGTCCCCAACAGGAATTCTTGCTAGCATGTTGTCCTTAGATGCAGACACCCCAGATTTTGAGGCACCAGATGCAGTTGCAACCCTTGAAAGGAGCCTGAAGGTGGTGATCTTCACGGGTCCCTTTGAAGGAACCTAAGTGCAATCCGTATAAAGGCTCTAAATTGTGAGGGCCCATATGGTAGCTTCCCAAAATAGGGGGAGCCCAATGTAGACCCCAAAATAATATATGCCCAAGCCCCATGACCATTCCTGAACAGCCTCCTAGACCCTAAACCCTATTTTCTAAACCCTAAATAGTAGCTTCCATTTTCCTTTCCATTATCCCTATATAAGCCCATATTATATTCCTACATAATCCCTACATAACCCCGTATTATAATCCTATATAATCCTTATATAACCCTACATTATAATCCTATACAACCCCCATATAACCCTATATATTTTAGTAGCTTCCATTTTCTTTTCCATTATCCCTATATAACCCCATATTTTAACTCTATATAATCACTATATAAACCCTAAAATTACCATTCCTGAAGAGCTTCCGAGATGCTTCAACAGACGGTGAAGCTGGGCATGCGCGCGATGCCGTCGAAGGCTTCGGACTTGGGATTTAGGGGTTAGTAATGGAGACTACTATTTAGGGTTTAGGGTATATAGTCCCCCTTAAGTAGATAGAATATTCGGGTTATAGTGGGGTTATATAGGGAGAATGGAAAAGAAAATGGAAACTACTATTTAGGGTTTAGTGGTTATAGTCCCCCTGGAGTAGATAGAATATGGCTTCGGGCATATTACGATCAGATCCCCATGTACCCCATATCCTGTCTACTTAAGATGGACTATAGGTTTGGGAGTTGTTCAAAAAGGGGGCTCTCTGGACCCCAGGAGTTTCGGGGGCCCTTGTTCGCGATTATCCAGGGGTCATTTCCAGAAACTCCCATCTAAGGTAGCAGACATACGGTTGATAACAATAATAATAGTAGCAATGGTAAGATTCATAGTAATACTAACAGTAATAGGCAATATAATAGTAATACTAATAATAACAACAATACTAATAGTAATAGACATAATAGGATAATTACAGGGTTCGAGGCTTGGGGATTCTCCCTCGCCCGACTTTAGGGTTTCCCAAGATTAAGGATCCCTTTTCGGGGTTCATTTTAAAGGGATTCTAGTATTAGGGTTCCTTTTTGAAGGGATTATAGTATGTAGAAAAGGGGAACCCCATTTTCTTACAAACTTTCATCTGGCCCCTCAAATTCAAGTGCCCTTTTAAGGACCCTGAAGCCCTGGAAGGATGGCATCGTGCAGTCGGAGGGGCTGGTGCTGGCAGGCGACCAACATGATTTCCGTGTATGGGAGTTTCCCAAATGAGTAGTATTTCAGTTTGGGATGCTATAGTCCCCAACATTGAGTCGGGGAGTCGGGGTCATCTTGAGGAGAACTCAATCTTACCTGGTTCAATCACCAAAAATGGCTACTAAAGTTGGGGTATGAATGACTTCCCATAGAACATGAATCAAAGAAGAGAGCGGCAGACGAATCCCAGCGGATGCATCTTCGTATCCGCTTATAGAACCTAGTCGTTCTATTTCCCACTATTTGGGATTCCTAAACGGGGAATGCCCAGATCCTCCACAAAATCCGAAGCCCTAGAGTTTGAGTCTCCCGTAAGTAGATAGAATATGGCTTTGGGTATATTAGATCCCATATACCCCATATTCTATCTACTTAAGGGGTTAAGGGTTTAGGGGGGACTATAGATTGTGGGGACCAGGTGATGCGTCACCCGAGCAGAGGAAAAAGTTCTGCGAGCGCGATGCCCCAGCAGCCTCCACAGCAGGTCTGGAAGTGCTGCCCGGCATTGACCAAAAGGTATATTGGGGTTTCTTCAGGTTGGTTCTATAGGGATAATGGAAAAGAAAATCGAAACAACTATTTAGGGGTTCGGGTTTAGGGCATATAGTCCCCCTTAAGTAGATAGGATATTAGGGTTATATTGGGGTTATATAGGGATACTGGAAAAGAAAATGGGAAACTGAAGGGATTATAGGGTTTATATAGGGATTATAGGGGATACTGGGGTTACATTGGGATAATGGAAAATAAAATGGAAACTGCTATCTAGGGTTTAGGGCTTAGGGTTTGGTTATATGAGCTATAGTCTAAACTCCTTAAATGGGGTTATATAAGGGATTATATAGGGGAGTATTATAGGGCTTATGCAGGGGGATACTTAGATAGAAGTATATAAGGTGTATATGAGGGATTGGAAAAGAAAATGAAAGCTACTGTAGCATTTAGGGTTTAGGGTATGGGGATATGTGGGAGCTTCTCAAATTAGGTGCCCCAAGGCACCCCAAGGAATATTCTGGGATCATAAGGGGAATATGGGAGGTCTCTATTGAAGATCCTTTAGGGGTAGTTTTGAGAACCTCCCATTTTGGGGGGGGTCAGTTTTGTTCATCTTCCTTAAGGTACGGAATTATGACTGTAGCCAGAACTTTATGGAAGCTCCTAAGTAGTCCTAGCAATGTGTGACCTCTAGAAGGGTTTCCTGGGGAAGTTGGTAGAGATGAAGCAAGTCAGGGCCATTGATTGTCCCTGAGTGCCTCATCGCCTATAGTGACTATAGTAGTTTCCATTAACCCCAATATCCCATTACAGTAGTTTCCATTTGATTTTCCATTATCCCAGTATTACCCAAATATCCCATTGCATTTTATTTTCAATTCCATTGTCCCAATATTACCCCAATATCCCACTATAGTCGTTTCCATTTTGTTTTCCATGATCCCGATATTTCCCCGTTATACCCCGTATAATCCCTATATAAACCTTAAATAAGCCCTATAATCCCTTTAGTTATTTTCCAGTATCCCAAAATTACCCCAATATTACGTGACATAGCTGACCCTGAACCCTAAGCCCTAAACCACGAGAAGCTGAGGGTGGAATGGATCATTGAGCTGATGAAGAAGGAAGGAAAGTGGGATGCCAAAAAAGCTTGAGCCGGTCAGCCCTTCTCGGAGGTTCATGGGTAATGACAGGCGGGGGTATAGTTCGGAGAATTCTACTTATAGCCTAAACTATGGGTTTTGGAACCTCACATATGATTCTCCATGAACCTCCTAGTCCATTTGGTGAGTCAGGGCCGTTAATGTTCTCGCATGCTCGTTTCCTGAGTGTTAGGAAGGGGCGGTGCTTGCCAGCTACAGCATTTTGTGCATCGTGCATGCTGATGGAACTAGACGTGTGTTTGGTTTTCCCATCTGTCAGAACGGTATGGCCATAGGCCCAGCACTGCTCCTTCCTCTTCTGCTCCAGCGCTGCTTGAAGCAGCTGCTCTCGGAAGTTCTGAAAAGTCAGCCTGGCTCCATGCAAAAAGTGACGCAGAGGAAGCTCGATTCGACTCAGGTTTCCCCACAAATCCATCGCAAGCAATCACCACATAGGCCTTACTACATTTGTAGGATTTGGGGGTGGCCAGCTATGTTTCTTGGCGACTACAAGGCTCGGCCACCCCGGGGTCATCTTGCAGTTTCACTAGCTGGATTATAGGGATTGTATAGGGTTTACATAGGGATTATGGGGGATACTGGGGTTTTATTGGGATAATGGAAAATAAAATGGAAATTACTATAATGGGATATTGGGGTAATGTTAGGATACTGTGACTGTGTTCGTTGTGAGCCTTTCAATAGCTGATGGCAGGGCTGTACTCTCTCTTTACATATGGGATGCCATATGCTTCACCACGCGCAAACTCGCAGCAACATATTGCATGTGTCGCAAACAGGAAGCTGTCGCTGCCCATTCAGTTTTCCCCTCGGGCAAGAATTCTGGTTCGTTTGCCTGCCTCCATTCCCTGCCAACCCTCCAGGTCAATCCTTGCTCCTGGCCCTGCCCAAGAAAACCCCGTCTGACAGGAGCCGGACTAACCGCGCCGGGGTGGGGGCATTTTTGAAATGAGGGCCTTTGCACAGCGGCACGTGCCAAGGTGAGGATGCACAAGCACATCACGTACTGCCGCAATTTGAGGCGCGTGATGGATCGGGCTACAACACAGACGCACATGTACGTTGTTAAATTGTTTGTGCAACAGGGTCTTCCTGCAGATCCCACACATCAACATGGAGGCCTGTTGCCTGCTTTGCGCGCAGATGCCAGGTTGACACTGCTTCGCAGCAGCCAGGTAAAACTAAGGAAAGTGCATCGTGGATTGAGCGTGCTCCGCATTCTTGGAAACCCGTCCTCAGATTTCAAAACCTTGTAACACGATAAGAGTAAAAATAAACGATAGCGTATACATCCAGCGCAGTTGTCTCGACGACCTGTCAACGTGAACTTTCCCATATGGCATGCCATAGCTATTGAGATGGGTAAGTTGCGTCACAATCCCAATTCTTTACATGGCAAGAACCCCTACCATGAATCCTAGCTGCTTGAAGGTATTGTTCCAGTAGAATTTGGGCTGGTGACGTCGCCCGATACCTGAAAGAGGTAGCTGTTCACATGGCAATAATTTGCAGAATATCGCTTCCATGAAAAGCAGAAATGCCCACATTCCTAGCTTTCCACTATATTAATATTATGGGACAAGTTCTAGGCTCCCAGCTGTATATGGCCGCAATCCCGTACGACAAGAGTCCCAAGACTCCTAGCAATTCAAATGGCAAGAACACCTACCAGCTTAGCCACTTGTATAAAGAAACCACCGCAAGCCAAGTTGTTTACATTCCTAGCTTTCCATATGGATCGAGCCCCTGTAACCCAACTGCTCGCCCATCATGAGCCCTGATACTCCTAGCTGTTTCCAAGGCAAATTTCCTTGCCTGTTCCTATAGCAAGACCGCATCGAATATGAGCCGCTTACAGTGAACAAGTCTTCAATCTTTCATATTTACATGAACAGTATGCTTAAACGACTGGCTGCTAATATCAAGCAAGTCCTGGCAATCCTAGCTCTGTATGCAAAAAGAGTCCTTGTACTCTTAGCGGCTAGAGGTAATTTGGAACCAACCACACGAATCCAAGCTGTGGGTGGCAACCATCCCTCGGTTTCAGGTCCGATGGGTAGTCCCCCCCACGATAACAAAACAATAAGCAAACGATAGCAAAATGTCGAAAAAGCGTCCGTGCACAATTCCGCTTGCAGGCCTTGGATTTTAGACTAGGACTGTAAGACCGCTTAAAGCACGTCCCCTATATCATTACCATACACTGCTCCCACCTCATCAGGGCCCTTTGTTGGAACAGAACTAAGGGTCATCTAAATTCGTTGGGGTTTTCATCACCCCTCATGTGGAGTTTAGCCGCTTAGCAGCCATGTCCGGCATTTGCTTTGGTGGCCAGGATCTTCAAATCAAGGTGCCTGGCTTCAACCGACACGTGTCGCGGTAGTGGACATGAGGGTGACAGTTCTGCATGGAAAGCTGTGTCCCCACCTTCGCTTACTTGTCCCGGCCCTACATGTACGTGAAAACCTTGACTTTGTCCTTGACCTGGATTTTGTAGTGGTGCTGTTGGCGACGCCTGGCCCAGTCCTCAGACGTGCTGGCACGACCAATCCCATGCGCGCGTCTCAGTGCACGGCATCTTGCGCAAACTCGCAACAACATACTGCATGTGTCGCAAACAGGAAGCTGTCGCCGCCCATTCAGTTTTCCCCTCGGGCAGGATTTCTGGTTTGTTTGCCTGCCTCCATTCCCTGCTAATCCTCCAGGTCAATCTTTGCTCCTGCCCTTGCCCAAGAAACCCCCGTCTGACAGGAGCTGGACTAGCCGCGCGGGGCGGGGGCATTTTTGAAATGAGGCCTTTGCACAGCGACACGTGCCAAGGTGAGGATGCACAAGCACATCACGTATTGCCACAATTTGAGGCGCGTGATGGATCGGGCTACACAGACGCACATGTACATTGTTAAATTGTTTGTGCAACAGGGTCTTCCTGCAGATCCCACACATCAACATGGAGGCCTGTTGCCTGCTTTGCGCGCAGATGCCAGGTTGACACTGCTTCGCAGCAGCCAGGTAAAACTAAGGAAGGTACATCGTAGATTGAGCATGAGCTGTGTTTGCACAAGTAAATGTGGAGTTTAACAGTTTAGCAGCCATGTTCTGCGTCTGCTTAGGTGGCCAGGATCTTCAAATCAAGATGTGCCTGGCTTCAACCAACGGCTGCGACAGCCTAAGCCAGGCACGCTCACAGCCTCACTGAGTTCCCTGAGATTTGACCTCTCCTTCGCAGGCTAGTACAACTCCTTCGCTTACATGTCCCAGCCTTACATTGCATGCCCAACGCTAGTCACGACCTTGAATCGTGTCTGGCATGCTTCTGTGCACTACTGTAGTTTGGCTTTCTGCCGACAAGACTCTCATAAGCCTTTCAAACCTACGGCAAATCAGGTGTGCGTAATGTGTGTTGCCATGTGTGTTTTTTATTTACACGTATCTATATCTTGTATATGTTCGCTTATGTGTTTAATTGTCTGTAATCTTTTTGGTTTAACGTGAGTTTCCATCTATATATAAATGAACAAACGAATATATATGTATATATGTAGCTTTCATTCCTTTGTTTTCATATTAATTTGGATACATATGGGGCAGAGCGGACACATTGGTTGCATGCTTGCCGAGATAACAGGGGGCGGACGTTTCAGATGATGCCGTGGCGGTCTGGCCGTTGATGCTCCGAGGCGACATGCATTGAGTCGGGGACAACGTCAATGATTTCTGTCAAGGCTATGTTGCTGCAGTGCCGGTCGATATGCGCCGAGAGTTACCTGCAAAGCACCGAATCTCCACACCACGTCCGCAGCCATGTCTGTGGTCAGATGGTAGTGCTCTTGTTCAAATCGGATTGCTTAGCAGGGTCTGCAACTTGCGCACGGAGGGGAGTACATGATAGCGACCAGTGAGCGGGTGAGTCAGTGAGTGAGTGAGCACGTGAGTGAGATGCACAGAACACGCACACATATGTGTATGTATACATATATCATGCATCAAGCAAGGATGATTTTCGGCAAGCCGCGCTGCAGTTCTGCCATGGCACCAAATGAGCACACCTCGAACGCCAAGATGTTTAGCAAGGCCCAAGTTGAGGTCCCGTGCCTAAATCAAGCTCAGCAATGTGAGACCTCAGTACTGTCATGTTCATGATGAATCCGTGGAGACCCATGGTGTGTTGGTCAAGCTTCCCCAAGGACGGCCTCGAGGACGCAGACCTTGTGCTGAAATCGAACACGGCCGATGGACAGTCAAATTACAAAGGTTGACGCTTCTAGTGGGCTTTTGCGTTTGGGGTTTGAGGTTTAGCCTCCAAGCTGACAGAACACTTTGTCAACACTGCTTGTCGACAAGACCGCGCCTGTACTTCACGCTGCGCAATGGAAAGTGCACCTAAGACTCGGGGGGTCGCCAACTTGGCTCAAGACCCTACTCATCAGGTTTGCACTGAGCAGGTGTGAGACCTGTTTTTGCATGAAAGCGCTGCGGTTGCAGTCGATCCCTCGACAATGCCCACTTGGTCTCCAGTTAGGCCTCTCCTGGAACAACTTCTCCTGGGACGCTGCTGCAGCCTGATTTGGGCTCAGGATCAGGGCGAGACAAGGCGGGCTTTCTGTCTGAATGTTCAGGAGCCGTTGCTCTTAGATCACCCGCCAGCGCCTAGCGTCAGGCACCGATTGAGGCTTCTACTGCCACAACTTCTGCCAGCGCTGGGTCTGCAGCCGGATTTGGGTTCAAGGTCAAGGCAAAGACAAGGCGCATTGTTTGTCTCAACGTTCAGGGTCGTTGTTTAGAAATCCCCCGACAGCGCCTTCGTCAGCCGCCGATTGAGGCCTCGCCTGTAACTACTTCTCCTGTGCAGCCGGGGTCAGGTTGAGACGAGGCGCGCTTTTTTCTCAACGTTCAGAGCCGTTGCTTTTAAATCACCTACAGCTGCCGATTGAGGCTTGTCCTGCCCCAAGCTTCCCTCCTACGCTGCTGCGGCCGGCATTGGGCTCAGG